TACAAAGTTGCGATTTTCGAGCTGGAGCTGCGGAAGTGTACTTCGCGTACTAGACTTGTACTACAAAGTTGCGATTTTCGAGCTGGAGCTGCGGTAGTGTACTTCGCGTACTAGACTTGTACTACAAAGTTGCGATTTTCGAGCTGGAGCTGCGGAAGTGTACTTCGCGTACTAGACTTGTACTACAAAGTTGCGATTTTCGAGCTGGAGCTGCGGAAGTGTACTTCGCGTACTAGACTTGTACTACAAAGTTACGATTTTCGAGCTGAAGATGCGGAAGTGTACTTCGTGTACTAGACTTGTACTACAAAGTTGCGATTTTCGAGCTGGAGATGCGGAAGTGTACTTCGCGTACTAGACTTGTACTACAAAGTTGCGATTTTCGAGCTGGAGCTGCGGAAGTGTACTTCGCGTACTAGACTTGTACTACAAAGTTGCGATTTTCGAGCTGGAGCTGCGGAAGTGTACTTCGCGTACTAGACTTGTACTACAAAGTTGCGATTTTCGAGCTGGAGCTGCGGAAGTGTACTTCGCGTACTAGACTTGTACTACAAAGTTACGATTTTCGAGCTGAAGATGCGGAAGTGTACTTCGTGTACTAGACTTGTACTACAAAGTTGCGATGATCGAGCTGGAGATGCGGAAGTGTACTTCGCGTACTAGACTTGTATTACAAAGTTGCGATTTTCGAGCTGAAGATGCGGAAGTGTACTTCGCGTACTAGACTTGTATTACAAAGTTACGATTTTCGATCTGAAGATGCGGAAGTGTACTTCGCGTACTAGACTTGTACTACAAAGTTGCGAATTTCGAGCTGGAGATGCGGAAGTGTACTTCGCGTACTAGACTTGTACTACAAAGTTGCGATTTTCGAGCTGGAGCTGCGGAAGTGTACTTCGCGTACTAGACTTGTACTACAAAGTTAGCGATTTTCGAGCTGGAGATGCGGAAGTGTACTTCGCGTACTAGACTTGTACTTCACGAACTTGCGACTTTGTACTACAATGTTGCGATTTTCGAGCTGGAGATGCGGAAGTGTACTTCGCGTACTAGACTTGTACTACAAAGTTACGATTTTCGAGCTGAGATGCGGAAGTGTACTTCGTGTACTAGACTTGTACTACAAAGTTGCGATGATCGAGCTGGAGATGCGGAAGTGTACTTCGCGTACTAGACTTGTGCTACAAAGTTGCGAGTTTCGAGCTGGAGATGCGGAAGTGTACTTCGCGTACTAGACTTGTACTACAAAGTTGCGATTTTCGAGCTGGAGATGCGGAAGTGTACTTCGCGTACTAGGCTTGTACTACAAAGTTGCGATTTTCGAGCTGGAGCTGCGGAAGTGTACTTCGCGTACTAGACTTGTACTACAAAGTTACGATTTTCTAGCTGAAGATGCGGAAGTGTACTTCGTGTACTAGACTTGTACTACAAAGTTGCGATGATCGAGCTGGAGATGCTGGAGCTGCGGAAGTGTACTTCGCGTACTAGACTTGTACTACAAAGTTGCGATTTTTCGAGCTGGAGCTGCGGAAGTGTACTTCGCGTACTAGACTTGTACTACAAAGTTGCGATTTTCGAGCTGGAGCTGCGGAAGCTTCGCGTACTAGACTTGTACTACAAAGTTGCGATTTTCGAGCTGGAGCTGCGGAAGTGTACTTCGCGTACTAGACTTGTACTACAAAGTTGCGATTTTCGAGCTGCAGATGCGGAAGTGTACTTCGCGTACTAGACTTGTACTACGAAGTTGCGATTTTCGAGCTGGAGCTGCGGAAGTGTACTTCGCGTACTAGACTTGCACGACAAAGTTGTGATTTTTGAGCTGGAGATGCGGAAGTGTACTTCGCGTACTAGACTTGTACTGCACAGTTGCGATTTTCGAGCTGGAGATGCGGAAGTGTACTTCGCGTATTGGACTTGTACTGCCTGCCAAGTTTCGCTTTTCGAGCTGGAGCTGCGGAATTGTATTTCGCAATTTTCGGGCTGGAGCTGCGGAAGTGTACTTCGCGTACTAGACTTGTACTACAAAGTTGCGAATTTCGAGCTGGAGCTGCGGAAGTGTACTTCGCGTACTAGACTTGTGCTAGAAAGTTGCGATTTTGGAGCCGGATCTGCCAAAGTTCGAAAACACTGTAAAACGATGAGGTCTCCCCCAAAAACGATGACGTTAAAAAAAGTACTAAGGCCAAGTAAAGGGTTTCGTCCGCTCCTCATATATATATCAGCTATATGTATATATAAAATTGCATCCGCACGTGGATATGAGTTTTGAGAGTTAGACCCACCTCAAAAGTGGTTGGTGGACCTTTGTATCCCCACCTAAATGATGATCAAAGGGTGCCCAGTAAAAAGAAACAACACCAGCATAGACCCCAGATAGCACATCACGGATACGAACCATGACGCAGCATTATCATGATGATGTAGACCATGATGACACCACAGCCACGAAACAAACGCGCAGACAACGTCCTAATGAGATCAGCAGCATAATGATGATTTTGAGAGCAATCCGGCAGGAAAAAGCAAACCGAGGTCCTGATGAGTTCGACAGCATCATGATGATGCGGACAGCATCATGATGATGCGGACAGCATCATGGTGATGCGAACAGCATCATGCTGATGGTAAAGGCAGCATCATGATGATACCACAGCCACGAACCATCTTGCGACAGCTTAATGAAATTCTGCATCATCCTGATGTTGACAGCATCACGGCGCCACTACACCCACACACCATAACGTGGGAACATCATGACGATACACCAGCCACGAACCGTTACACGCGAACAGCATCCACCAGCACCCCAAACATGCCCCCTAGCACCCGGTACAACCAAAGCAGCATCCACCCGCGCCTCAAACTGCATGCCCCTTAGCACCCGGCCGTCAAGCTCGCAAAGCAGCATCCACCAGCACCCCAAACTGCATGCCCCCTAGAACCGGCCGTCAAGCTCGCAAAACAGCATCCACCAGCACCCCAAACTGCATGCCCCCTAGCACCCGGCCAGCTCGCAAAACAGCATCCACCAGCAGCCCAAACTGCATGCCCCCCAGCACCCGGCCGTCAAGCTCGCAAAACAGCATCCACCAGCACCCCAAACTGCATGCCCCTAGCACCCGGCCAGCTCGAAAAACAAAACAGCATCCACCAGCACCCCAAACTGCATGCCCCCAGCACCCAGCCGTCAAGCTCGCAAAACAGCATCCACCAGCACCCGAAACTGCATGCCCCCGAGCACCCGGCCGTCAAGCTCGCCGGCCAGCTCGCAAACCAGCAGCATCTACCAGCACCCCAAACTGCATGCCCCGTAGCACCCGCAAAGCAGCACCCACCAGCACCCCCAACTGCATAGCACCCGGCCGTCAAGCTTGCAAAACAGCATCCACCAGCACCCCAAACTGCATGCCCCCTAGCACCCGGCCGTCAAGCTCGCAAAGCAGCACCTACCAGCACCCCAAACTGCATGCCCCCTAGCACCCGGCCGTCAAGCTCGCAAAGCAGCACCCACCAGCACCCCAAACTGCATGCCCCCTAGCACCCGGCCGAAAAGCTCGCAAAGCAGCATCCACCAGCACCCCAAACTGCATGCCCCCCATATGCCCCCTAGCACCCGGCCGTCAAGCTCGCACAGCAGCATCCACCAGCACCCCACAGTGCATGCCCCCTAGCACCCGGCCGTCAAGCTCGCAAAGCAGCACCCACCAGCACCCCAAACTGCATGCCCCCCAGCACCCGGCCGTCAAGCTCGCAAAGCAGCACCCACCAACACCCCAAACCGCATGCCCCCTAGCACCCGGCCGTCAAGCTCGCAAAGCAGCACCCACCAGCACCCCAAACTGCAGCACCCGGCCGTCAAGCTCGCAAAGCAGCACCCACCAGCACCCCAAACTGCATGCCCCCTAGCAGCCGGCCGTCAAGCTCGCAAAGCAGCATCCACCAGCACCTCAAACTGCATGCCCCCGAGCACCCGGCCGTCAAGCTCGCAAAGCAGCATCCACCAGCACCTCAAACTGCATGCCCCCCAGCACCCGGCCGTCAAGCTCGCAAATCACTTTCCCCTCTTTATTAGAAGTTAGAACCCCTATAGCTTCCAGCTATCTGGGGAATCACGCCCATGTATATACTTGCGTATGCAAACACTGCGGCGTGGACTTTAGATGCCCATCATCAGTATTCCGATTAAAGGAACCACGGCTCTGGAGCATAGGAGTTTTGACCATGGCAAATGAAAAAGGTCAACATGTTACAAGGGTTGCTTGGTGCGTGTATCTGTATGTACTGCCTTAGCTACCTCAAGTTTCCCTTTTCACCCGCAAACCGTCAACCTCGTGCGGCGAATTCGAGCCTTCAAAAGCGTCGGAAATCTCCTTTTGCAAACCGCAACCCCCCCAACAAAATGACTCGAGTTTCCGAAAATTGAAATGTGGCAAACGACAGTTGGGTATGGGTCAAGATTAAGCCACCAGGAAATGGACCGCAGGTTGTCCATGTTTCCATTTACCAGGATTCCAGTTTGGGTACATATTTTTTGACCCACCGCCAGTTGTTTTTTCTCTTTTTGGCGAATCCACTCGGGCGTGGCTCGCCCAAGTTGCCAGGTCCTGGACATCGACGAGGACGCGGAGTTCCTGACGCAGCCGGTGAGCGAGAGCCGGGCACAGGAGATCATGAAGGCCGATTCGATTCGATTCGAATGCCAAGGCCTTTGGGTTTTCCTGTGTGATGGTGAAGCTACGAAGCTTGCAGTTTCCGTGTCAACCTATTCTTTCTAAATCCGAAATGCTCAGCTTGCACACCGTGTCAGCCTATTTTTCTGAATCCAATTGGCTCAGTTTGCACTTAGTCAAGGCTTCTTACGTTCTTACATGTGTTCATATCGCAGAACTGCGCCAGATCCTTCCAGCAAAGGGAGTAGTGCCTGACCGCCAGCAGGGAACTTATTCACCAGGCCCGGTGAATAAAGTTCTGCGGCCTGTCCCACTCACAGAAAATCCAAGAGAAGGGAGGAGACAAAGATCGACGGGAGGAAAGAAAAGGAAACATACAAAGCTTGGCAATACCAAAGTAAGTTAGAACCTCCCAAACAAAAAAGCAATGCTTAGCAATACGAATTCAATCGACCTGGGCTAGGGAACCTTATTCCAGGATCCCCTCCTTGGGGTGGGGTGTTCATCCAGGGTGGTCATTAGTATGGTTGCCAGACCAAAGGCTTTCCCCTCAAGCTCGCCTTGTGGTTTTCGGCGGTTTTTTCCCGGCAAAATATACTTGCCTTTTGGTGTTCGGTGGTTTTCCCAGAAAAGTTCCCCCCGTGGGTCGTAAAAGGTTCGAGCGGGTCGAAGTGCTTGCGGCTTCCAGGCCGTCGCGGAGTCCCTGCCGCACCTCTCGGATCACATGGATGCCTCTTGGCTCCCAAAACATCGAGACTGGTCTGTCGAGTTAGGGGTGGTGGTGAACGGGGCCGGATGAAGGCTCCCTAAGGAACCCTACAAAAAATCTTAGCAAATTTTAAGGAACCCGAAACGGGCTCTCAACTACCTACCCCCTTGTACTCCTCTTAAAAGCCTTGGGGATTCCATAATTGTGGGCGAGGGGCAAGAGGCTGGTTTTCGTCGGGATCATGATCACAGAGGGGGCTGTGGGTCCCCCTGTGTGTGGATGGACAGCATCCAACCGAACTAAACATAATATCATATTTCCAGTAGTCCTTTAAAACCAACAACGGGAAACAACACATGAAAATAAGCAAACATAGTTCTAGAAGGTTGCCATTGATCTGAACCAATCACGATTATTCACGAGCTGGAAATCAGACACCCTCTGGTCAGAAACCTTCATGATTCGCGCTTTGCGCACTCATTCCATCAGGGCGTCTTAAAATGGGGATCCGAACTCCCCCAAATGGCAACGGTTTCCTTTTGGTGTCCCTTTACAAGGGTACCGAGTTTCCCACTTCGAGAAGATTTGGCGGGCAAGAAGCAGGAAAGCCCATACCCTCAAAAGTGGTTGCACAATAGACCCATGATCGCTTTTGAAATTATTCCCCAACAGCTGGAAGCCTTGGGGTCTCAGCCCAGATAGGCTAGGGGGTGGTCCGGGGCGGCCCTGAGGTAAGGTTTCACGAGGGTTCCACCAGGGTTCCACGAGGTTCTGCGAGGGCTGCGGGGTGGTGCGAGCACTAAAAAGAGCATCGCATGCTGTTGGGGATATCACCTGAGCTTATGGTACAAGTTGCGATTTGCTGAGATATTGACCAGAATCTGACGGGTTCTTCTTGGTTGAGGTGCAGAAGCTGAGCAAGCTGCATGTTCCATGTCGTCAAGGGAAGCTGAAAGGGACGCCACCCATTTCGGAGTTCTGCTCGGTTCTGAATGTGGCTCACTCCCTGAGACCCTGGGCCTTGGCTTGGACCATGCGAGTGGTAAGTAGTAGATCAACAGTTTTATTATTTTGTTTGGCCACTCCACTCGATCGGAAGTGATTTTGTAAAGTGGACAACCCTTCAATTTCCCTTTTCTGCTCACTGGGCGGGCTTGGCTTACGTTGGAAGGCAGGCATTGCTTTTGTAGGCCGAGTTCAAAACCCGGATAATTGGAGGGTAGCCAAAAATGGGTGTGGCCGCCTTTTGAATTCTTTACCTGCTTCTGGGAAGACCAGTTTAACACCGGGTTTTGATTGTGACTCAGCTGACAGCTTCTTAGTGTCACGCACGGGGCCCAGTTGCAGGCCACAACTGGGTTTCAGACTTAGTGATGTTTCTAGGATTTCAACAAAGCCAAAAGAACACACCAGCAGGTTGGATGGGTCTTGTTCGCACTGGGTCCTTGGTTTCCTGACCAACCCACTCTATGGTACTTCTTTCAGAGACAACCGTATGAGCAACCCCTTGATCATGGGGTAGAAAAACCACGGGCTGCTTTTCAGGGTTTTAATTTCCTCTTCGGTCCGGGACTGAGGGAAAGGCCTACCCCTTGCGAGTCTCCAGACCCTCTTATCTCAGGACAAGACTTTTTACACCCCACAGATCCCTGGATAGGTGTGTGTGTGTCTGTGTGGTTGTTTGTCCTTTTGTTTTTCTTTTTCTTTTCCCCGGGGACCCGAAGAGCAACGGGGCGGCACGGACATCCCCAAAGAGCTGCCTGGCGTCCAACCGCTGTGAGGCGACCAACCTTCAGCAGGACATCGCGCAGGCCGCGGGAAACTCTCAAAAACCGAATTTGGGAGAGAGGAAGGCTACTGGGCTTCCATTTTTTTTGGGGGGGGGGTTCACTAATTATGAAGCGGACAACCTGAAAATGCTTGTGTTTTGGTAGATCGCTGTTCGAACTTGAAGATCCTCAGGGAATCAAACGGGCTGGGAATGCACCGTGCTGGATTCCCTCAACTCTTGGATCTCTGAAGGTAGATTACTTGTGAAGGTGCTTAGCTTTATGGGCCAGAATCTGCGAATGATAGTTCTGGCTAGCAAAAGCTGAGGTAACATACCCGCACTTTTCCGAAAGCACCCTCCAAAGCGCTTTTTCGTTGGCGTGCCCTCTAAGAGTGCTCTTGGCCAAAGTTGAAAAGCGGGCTCCTTCTTCCATCACCGGGCCAAAGCTACCACGTTTGGGAATGTTTTTTCCATATGAAGTTCCCTGCGAACACCCCAAAAAGGATGTTACAGTGTACCCCTAGAGGGGTAAGGCCTTAAGAGGTCCATATCAGGGATTTCCTCCCCTCCCCTAGCCTCCCCTCAAAGGGTCCATATGAGGCTGCCTCAGCCAGACGCGAGCGAGCGATCGCAGGCCCGGCAGCGGCTGGAGGAGCGCCACGCGCTGACGCGGGGCCTGATGAAGCCCTTCGCCGGGCTCTGCCTCAGGCGGCCTTAAGCCCCGAGGTCGTCGAGTGGGCGAGTGGGCGAGTTCGACTCGGCGATTTGACGATTTGGCTGGGGCGAAGGATGGTTTAAACTCCGCCTGAAGGGAAGAGTCATGATAACCAGTGGTTTAAACATGCTTAAACCAATGGGCCCACCCTACGATGGGGGGAGCTCTGCTTGGGTCTACAAAAGAGATATCAGCCAAACATCTCCCAGGTTTGGTGGGGCGCTTTGGGTCTCCAAATTTTGGGAACCCAAAATAAGATCCCAAAATCCGTCAGGTTTCTCCTTTTGGGCGTCCTTGAGACCCAACCCGGAAAGGGCATCCTGAGAGAAAAAAAAAGGAAAACCCACTGGCCCGACTTGGATGTTCAACTAACTGTCAGGTAAGTAGGTGATCTCATGGTTGTAGAACTTGGGTAACTGGGGTGATCGTCCCCATACCATGGATAGAACCTACTTGCCTGACGCTCAACCGACCGAGCTATACTTGCGGGTTCTCAGGGAGTTTCTCGTTGGAATTCGGGGTGAGGAGGTTTGTGACAGCCCCTCTGCAAATGTTTGTTTGGTTTGGCAAATCGGATTTATAGTTCTCTTGATATGTTGTTTTGGTGGTTTAGTTTGTTCCTGGTTTTTCTGTGAATTGAGTCCTTGAAACCAAAAGAAGGCTGCTAAACTCTAGGTTGACCATTCAACATCTTGCAAAACCTCGAAGCACTCCACGAGTTGATGTGGTATCGCCGACGTCAAAGATCCACTCCACTGGGTGACTGCTGGAGTTGCATTTATACTTCCATGTTCCCTTTTGTGGTTGGCCGACTGGACAGACGGAGTTGGGGTCCTTGGGGTCCCGGACCCCCCCACCCCTTCCCCCGCTTTCAGGCAACGGAGCATGTTGCAAGGCTCCGCCGCACTGGCGCCGCAAGCGGCCAGGATCCACCTGGTCATGGCGGCCTGCTACGTCACCTCCTCCGTGGGCGAGCTGCTGCTTCAAACCCTCGAGGCTCGCGCGTGCGCGCGCGCGCCGATGGGCGGGTTGAAGGAGCTGCTTGGAGGGCAGCGGCCCTGTTTGGGCGCCCCCCAAACACCCCTTGTGCTTCTGCTTCGCCGTTTTCCCCGTGGCCGGACGGGGAAGGAGTCGACCCTGGCAAAAAGCATCAAAAAGCCAGACGCCTTGCTTGCCTTGACTTTTTGCGGGGACCAACACCTGAGGGCTATAGCATTCGGTTCCTTCTACCTGGTTTCGCAAAGGGCCATGGTAAAGCGAAACTAACAGCTACATTCTCTTTGGGCTTTGCACCCCAGGAAGATCCCCAACAGCCCAACAGCCCTAGCTCGAGAAGGGCGTAAATATTGATGGGTGTCTTTTGCTGCACGAGGTTTGGTCCAAAAAAGTACTGGTTTGTCTATGGTCGCATCAGAGAGCTCGCTAAGTTTCCCATGTCCTCTTGGGGAAAGTTGATTTTGACCTTCTTGGGGCAATGGTCTGAACAAAGTTGGGAAGTCTTCATCCAGGTCGCATCAATGAATGAAGGAGACCTGAGGAGAAACAGGGGTCATCCTCATGGTTCCCCGTGAGGGAACGTTTGCAATCAGCAGTAAACTCTTGATTTTTCGGGCTTCATGACCACTCCGCAACTCGCCACTATGATAGGGTGCAAGGGGGGAGGGGTCAGGGGGGGGGGGGGTCAAATCTGGTGGTTGTTCTCCTGGCCAAATTTTTCTATGGCATTCTTGTGCATGTTTGAGACCATCTCGCAATGTTTTCCTTGCCCCTTTGGAGCTTTGGCTGCCTTGGCTGCCTTCAGGTCCCCTGCTAACAGTTTAACTTCTAGTGGGCTAAATGGAAACCACCACTAAACCCCAAAAAACTAAAAGTCTAAGGGGATGGCTGGGAACCGCCAAGCTGCTGAAAAAGTTAGCAGCGAGACCACTTGTCAACCACAGGCACTGACGCTGCCCGTGTTGGGCAATCAGCTGGATTGATCTGTTCTGTTCATTGGCGCCACACAAGGAGAATACACCTTAGCAGGCAAGCATGTTGACTCAATAGGCATGCTCCAAGAAGTGGTTCACAACTTCAATTCAAGATCAAGCCATCCACAAGAGGGATGATGCAGTCAAGAAACGGAATTCCTTGATTCCAGCAGCGCCCCCATCATCAAATGAGTTTTCCATTGCTGCGACGAATGCTTCAAGTCGATGGTTCACCTGTTATTTGTGCATTTTCGTAAGATCTCACCAAGGCAGTTGCTAAGCTCATTACATCTCTGTGCGTTCTGTTCTTTGCAACGCGCGCCTTGTTTGCACTCACTAATGCTTAGTAACCCTTGCCAAGCCTTACAGAGCACTAGTAAGAAACAGTAAGCCTTACTGAGCCTCACAGAGAAAAGCATCATGCTTGCATTCGCATTGCCAAATTTGACCCCCCCCCCCCCCGACCCCTCCCCCCTTGCACCCTATCACACTAGGAACCAAGGGCTCTGTCTCAAGGTTCTCAGAATCTTTCTCCTGATCAAAGGGTTCAGTTGGAGCATCTTCTGGGGGGGGGGATGTTGCCTTTTCATGCCTTTTCAACTTCCATGTTGAGGGCCCAAACAAGGATCTATTTAGGGCTCCAAATTGCAGGGCCCAAGCGCCGAACTTCCGGAGCGCCACGTCAGCCGCCAGATCAGTTCGCGCTGGCAATGTAGCTCGAGCTGAGCTCACCTCAGAATGAAGCAAGCCCGCCCCATGCTAAAGGCTCCTTTGAGGGCTTTATTTCAGGGTTGTGAATGACAGTAGTTTGCGCCGTCACAGCAAACTTAATATAGATGGCACACACACACAATTCAGCTTTGAATGCATATCCCCGCAATCATCAAAGATTCAGATGCATGCCACAGATTGGATGAAAGATCGCGCTACAGGGCTGGAAAGTTGTCGGGCAAGTTGCCCAATATAGTAGCTGTTTGTGTTTGCATGACCTCGCTGCAGCTGCCTTGATTTGATTATAGATTATAGGGTACACCCCATCCTTACCAGGGTTAGAAGGTTTGCTTGCGTCTCCTTCAAAACTATTAAGGGAGACTAAATATGGAACGTCAAAAGCAGTCTCATGTTCGTATGGTTGCTAAGATTATCCCTTGTAGACCCAGCATTCTTCAGACTTCGGACCGCACCCCAGAATCGCCCATGGGCCAACAAGGAACCTGAACCGTCAAATCAGACGTAAAAAATGAGTGATTGCCCCAAATTGATGGGGTGATTTCATCCCTTGCACTGGGTAGGTTGAATTGCTGCAAATATGGATGTGATTGCCCTAAGCATTTCTGGGATGATGTCCTCCCTTTCTTGCTCGAGCTACCCATCAAAATCGGTGACTGCCCCAAACTCAATAAAAGGGGAGAAATCATCCCTCCTTGTTTGCTGAATACGGTTAATCGAACTACCCATAAAATTTGGTGATTGCCCAAAACGAATCCAATTTTTACCGATTCTGGGTACTCCAACTACCCAAACACACCCATGTTTTCTGATTCTGGGCTGAGTTTTCCGGGTCCAAGTGGTAAGTCGCCTGCGGCTTTCCGCGCCTCTGCGCGGCGTGGCGGCTTTCGGCTGTCGGAGGTGGAGGGCATCGCGGGGCACTTCGTGCCCAGCGCGGAGATCTGGCTGAGCTTCTTCGGGGCCTTTGCGCTGGGCTGCGTCTTATGGCCCGGGCGCCCGATCGATCCGGCGGATGGGCGGGCGGGCCAGGCAGATGGGAGCGATGGGGCCAAAGGGGCGGGGAGGGCGGGCTGGGGATCAGAGGGTTTTTGTTGGTGGTGGTGAACCCATAGCTCCCGGAGGTCTGTTTCGGACTTGAGTCACTTTTTGGGTTTGGACCATCTTAGTGGTAAATAACAAAAATGTTTGGAGTGTTGTTGGCCAATCCACTCAGGAAGTGAGGTTTCGGTGTGGGTAGAAATGGTTTCCGTTAGTTTAGATCGGTTTTCTTTTTTCTCCCCATTTAGGGCCATCTATTGTTCTAAACGATCACCTATGGTTGACCCGGATCGAAGTAGAACCTGTCCGATTCCCTAAAGTGATGATTCTCACTAAACCCTGGGAATACGCTGGGGTTGATTGATCTGGGATTAACATCAGTGGATCAACCAGAAAGGGCGTGGGTGGAGGATTTGAAGGGATGTCTCGGAAAGGCGCGCTTGAAAAGCATACCTGCTGCCAGAAGAGATCAAGAAACACCGGGTGATTACGAGGATCCCCCAAGCAGGTGGTTGTTGAAGTATTTTCCCTGTTTTCAGGTACTTGTTTGCCCAAAACCGTATTTGAAGCTTTACTGAAAATTGTGGACCAGAGTCAAAGATATATGTTTGGTTGGGAACAAAAGCTGAGGTATAGTACTTCTAGTGGTTGCCCACTTTGGCAACCATTCAGGTAGCCAAAGGTTAACCTTTTGTTTCCAGGTCTGCCTGGTGAATTTATTTACATGCTCCCCCAATAAAGTGAAGCACCTCAGGATTCCAAGGATTCCTCTCAAATATAGGACAATCCCGAATCAAATATATACATATATATATATATTATAATACCCAAGATATAGATATAGGAGATGCCATACTGCCTGCCAAAACAGCAGAACCAGACATGGAAAAGACCCATTCCGGGGGGGCATTTTGTCAGCCTGCCAGCTTTGGGATATGCGGGACGAGGGAAACAGGGTTTTTGAACAACATACTTGTGGCCAAGACTGTGACACACAGGACGCAGGGCCCAGTCGAATCGATTTGGGAATTGGTGGACCCATATCTGAATCGGCAACTAGCCGTTGTTGCCCCTTGCCATTTTGCGTTCCTCAGTGTTCCCTTCTAACGAGCCAAAGTTTAAACTTATTTTGGCCAAGTTGAAAGCGGACTTCTGGGTCGTAAGCCAAAGCCATGTGGTGCTGGACACCCCACGCCAGGCACCTGGTAGGGGTGGTTATGAGCCTGTAGAAATGTCCTATCCAACCCAGCTGGTGCCTGGCGTGGTGTACATCTACAGTATTTGGGTACGTGACATGTGATTTTCCGTTTGGGTTTCCCTTCAAACCAAGCTGAGGCTAGGGTACCCGGAAACAAACACTAGATGTTTGCAACCAAAGGTCCGTCACGTTCTCCGACTTTCCGGAGAATTGAAAAGCCAAGCCAGGCCCAGACCTCTGGAGAAGGGGTGTCAGGAGGGAAAATCGGGGCATTTATTTGTCAGATCCGAATTCGATGAGAGCCTCTCAGGTTCTCAAGTTGGGTTCCATTGAACAGCCTGTCCAGAGGGCCCTTAAGGTGTGGCCCCTGGTCCGCGCCTACGCAGCTGCATGAAATTATTTCTCACCCCCCTGTGTAGCCAAACTGATCAAGCAAATGTTGGCCGACTGTTGTCAACCTGGTTTTTCCTGTTTGCCTTAGGACCTTTCAATGTTAACGCAGATTCTGTCAGCAACTTTTGTGACTTCTGGGAACAAGGCCATGTTCCTGTTTTCTTTCAGAGCTTCTGTCCGCAGGTCCTGTCCCGAAGCTCACCTCAAGCAAAAGCTTCCGCCCAAACGCGCTTCAGCTTCGCTGTCCCGAGGCTTCGACTGCCAGGGGCCCCCAGCTGGCGCAGCTGGGGGTTGGGTCACGGTCAGGGGATCTTGCGGTGGATGGAAATGGTGTCTGGAAATACTGCAAAACGGCCGGTTTCCTTTCGGATTCCCTTCAACTGCTGATGGAAATGGTTCAAGGGCCCTTTTGAGGCTCCAAGCTGCGGGTAGTTTGAGTTATTTCTCGCAGCAGGGTGGAAAAGCCTTCTAAGGAGAGGGCAGTTGAAGGGAATCCGAAAGGACACCAACCAGGTTTTTAAATGAGGTCCAAAACCTTCCACTGCGGGTCCCAACCCTTTCAATGGAGGGTCCAATGATGCTCGGGGTGGTTCCAACAAGCTGGTTGGGTTCCATTCAGTTTTCCTTCTGCCAAAGGCTTGTCCACCAGAAACACGCAAATGCCTTCGGCGGCCTTTTTGTTGTTCGGTGCACCGTTTTGGGTGTCAAGACAGAACCCATTCCCTTCTAGGGGTACCCTCCCACCAATTCACATGGAACCTGGCAGGGGGTCTCTTTGATCTTCCAGCGCCTCCCCTGGCAGGTTCCATGTTAAATGGTGGAAGTGTAATGCCTTTCACACAAAAGCCAACTATGATCGTTTCTTCGGGGTTGGCTTCGACCGGGCCTTCAAGCCTGGGGGGGCGGGGGGTCGAGGGTTTGGGGAAGTCCGGCGAATAGCCTATGTCAGTCCGTTACAAACGGGAGAGGTATGTCGTTTTATTCCCATATTGTTTGGACATCCCACCCCCACCCCCCGATTTTTGCACACCGTTTTTTTGTGCTTCGGCCATGGATGCAAAAGCTTTGCTGTCGGCACCGCATGAAGGCCGACCTTTGAAGTTTGACAAAGGGCAAACAGATCAGGACTGAGAACAGCGGGCTTCCTTTCCCACCAGAGCCCCTCTGAAACCCCTTCTAAGAACCTTTGGGTTGTGGCGGGCCTAGGCCTAGGCTTTCCCCTAGGAGACTTTCACAAGGGAGCCTAGGACCCACAGACGTGGCTTTGACCACGATACGTGCTTCCGCAGGTGTGGACCTTTAATCAACAATCTCCTGCACAGACCCCGTTAGACCAGAACCCATTACATTTCACCCAGTTGGACTGATAAACTGGGGGTTGACGAATATGTGGCAAACCTCAAATGTTTCTTTACTTCTGGGGACTCAAAGAGGGAACCAGGCACATCAGGCATGAATCGGTCGTCCTTCCATTGGTTTGTCGCACCTTCCCCAACGAATGCTACGATGGGAATGATACTTAAGGTTTCCCTGCCACTTCGTAGGCAGCTGGCAAAAGCTAGGCAGGTAGCTTGCCTTTCAACTTGTCCCAGGCCTTCCCCAAGAAACAAATGGTTCTGCAGGCCCGCACCAAGACATGGCACTAGAAGGGGCGTGAAATGGCAGTTGCCAACAAAAAACGCAGGAGTCAATGGCCACCAAGTAGCATGGAGCCCAAACAACTTCTCCATAAGAGGAATCTCCTTCGATCGTTCTTTTGGGGCCCCATCTTAGCCGCATGTTTAGATTCGGTGAATTTCAGCCAAGAAAACAAAAAGAGAGGGGTGAGGGTGTTTTGTAATTTTGGAGGGGAGCAGCCAAGGGCCTCATCCACTGAGGTCCTTTGGCATTCCTCCGAACCTCTTGATGACGGTGTCGCAGGCGTTTGCTAAGTAGAGACGGGTCGGGGGCTAACCCACTGAGCGATGGTTGGATCAAGTATGTTTGAATCCGCTTCGCACTGAACCACAAAATGGTCCCTAGCTTCAATGTAGTTCAGATGAACTTGTTGCTCCCACCCTTGCGTTTTTGAAAAAGCACTAAAGGGCTAACTCCACTTGGGGAACTTGAGTGGGTTACGCCGAAGTCTTCAGGGGTATCCGCGTCAGGCAGACCGGACTCCGGACTGGGAGAAGCCCTTCCGCTGCAAATTCATAGAAGGAGCCCATAAGGGTCCATTTCCCAAAAGGATATTTCTATGAGGATTTGTTCTGTGTCAGACTCTAGGGGAGTAGGTTCCATCAATAGAACGGCCCCCAAAGCAGGGCCAAAGACTCCCGCGAATTCCATCAGAGTATCTCCAGACTTAGGCTCGTGCGATCGGGAGCCCGTGGTCGGGCCTCCAAAACAAGGGCCAGAGTTCCGATCCTGTTGCACACCTCCAGATTGGGCCCTTGTTGTACCCAATCTTTGTGCACTCAAAATGACCGGATTGGGCTCTTCCTGCTTTACCTGTTGGGCCAATTTGGTATCAGTGTCCTTATAGGTGACAGGGGAGATGCAAAACGCAAACGCGGGGACTGGGCCCTTGAAACTGGGCTCCTGGCGTCACAACTGGTGCGTCACAGGTGAACAAAGCAGCCCAGACCGCAAGGGCATGTCCGTGTTTCAAGTTGTTTGTTTTGGAGGGGGGTTCCGGATGAGGTGTTGGATGGTTGGTGGGGGCCACATTCAAGGCAAAACCGGGAAAGAAAAAACACCTCTGCCGTGGGGTTCCTTTAAAATCAACGACCGAAATTCCCTTTTACTGGAAGCATCACATACGCCAAGGGCATGTTTTGCATAGGGGAAGTCCTGAACCATGCAAGACACAGACACGAAGCAAAATCCATTATTTTGCTAGATATGGGGAGCCCAAGTAGCCCAATCACATGAACATGTTGACTGCAGCCAATGCCTCGGGACAGGGCCTCGATATTTAGTCGCACCCTGTTGGGTGGGGAAATGATTTCCAAAATCAAGCAACCAACCCCTCCCCCGTCCGGGCATGTTTCCTTTGTTCATCTGTTTTTTTGGAGCGGGGCTCGACCTTTGCAAACAAAAAAATGAAGAAAAAGGCGCGCCAATGTTCTGCCGTTTTTATGAACTGCTTTGATGGATGTGTGGAGTGAGCTTGCAGGTGATTCTTGTGGGTGAGTCGGCTTTTCGCTTGGAAATCCGGTGGGTCTGGCTGGTCTCCGGTCTGGAAAAAGCAAAAAATCCCCGTGTCGTGAGGGCCTGAACCTGGCCGCCTTCCTGCTGCTGCCGCTTCTGCCGGAGCACCAGGACACCAACTGGCCGGGACCCTACTGCCCCAATCGGGAGAATGTGCCAATCAATGGCTTGGCATGTTTCCGTTTGGAATTTTCTTAAGGGGGGTTCCCGGTGAAAGCAATTGCCCCTAAAATTAAATTTCCCAGTGGCTTACCCTGTTTCCCTTGTTTGTTTTGGAGGGAAGGTCGCTGCAAAGTCGGCTGCCCGCCAAAAAAGGCGCCAGTTGTCCGGAGGTTTGGGGTAAATTGACCAACTTGTGAAGGGAAATCCAGTGACCCCTAATATTCAAGGGCGAAGCATAGGTTGCACCTCTCCCTTTTTGGCTCGGAAGACGCCCGCAGGTCCTACATCTGCTTCGCAGCAGTCTCCGGTGCCGGTGCCCGAGACACGTGGTTCCCAGCTGTCTGGTTCCCCTCGGCGTTGTGTTGTCTTTAGTTGTTTCAAGTTGTGTTTTTGGTGTTTTTAGTGGTTTAGTTGTTGTTAGTATACTTGGTTTGGTTGGTTTAGTTGGTTTAGTTGTTTCCATTGCCCTCACAAAGAAATCAACGTTAGTCCCCTGAGGACAGTCATGTGAAGCCGGTAGCTTTGGATGTATCCTTTAAGGAAGTGGACTTCTGGACTGATCTGTTTTGCGTCGCTGGAATTTACCCAGACCTCTAGTGGGGAGTGGTGTCCACTTGTGTGTTCCTGTCGAAATGGATCAAGCAACAAAACTGCACATTGCCGATGTGGGTCTGGGGTCAGGGTGCATCTCGCGTATTCCAGCTGAAGCAATCCATGGAAGGCATGTTGTTTTTTTTCTTTTTTTTTCTCTTTTTGAGGACACACGTTTTTGAGGGAAACTGAAGGCCCCAATGCAAACACCAGGCATTGTTTTTGTTGGTTGTTTGTTTGGTTTTCCCTTGATGATGTGGCTTGCGTTGGCTTGATGGGAGGGTGCCGTTGTCAAAGTCTGATTCGGGTTGTTGCGGATTCTATCCAGATATGGCAAGCAAGCACGGACCACACCTAAGATA